AATTACCGGCTTGAGGTGGCTTCCAGAAGCTTCCCCGCCCTTATCAAAGATGGCTCCTGCGCTCGTCCCGGAAACTGCAGCGCGTCATTTCAACCGGCCTCCGCCAGCCAATGGCGTTTGCATGCTCTGGAGTCACGTGGGGTGAGTCCCGGAGCAGCTGGACGTCACTTCTGCTCTTGCGGCGGCGTGGTTCCAGTATTTGTGCGTGCGGTGCGGTAGCCGGGTCCGTTGGGCTGAGCGGGCGAGGAGCGGCCGCGCAGGGGCGGGGGAACGGGCTGGGGGCCGTGGGGAGCCGTGGCGCGCCGTGGCTGGGGGCGGGAACGGGGCCTAGGGCTAGGCCTAGGCCTAGGCTTCGGCCGAAGGCAAGTGAGGGCCTGTGGCCCGGCCCGGGCCTGAGGCGGGCTCTGGCTGCCTCCCTGCCCCCTCAGCGGTCTTCGCCGCCCTGCCCAGGCTGGAGTGGGTTTTCCTGTGCTTTGGTGCGGCAGTGACTTCACAGTGTTTCTTTGCTGCTGTATTTGCAGTTAACATGCTGGAATGTTGGTGGCGTTTTGTTTTGTTTTTAACACTTTGCCGTGTTCTTAATCTAATGCTTGACATTGTCAGCAGTTTCAAAAAAATAGTGGTTGCTGTAAGTTCTTGTAAACTGTGTCGTCCCAATGGAAGAGTGGGGGTTAGTAGTGGAAACAGGATGTGCGTCTGAAAGTACTTGCACTTGTAAAAACAAATTTTCATAACCGGGTTTAAAAGCAAAGTGACTTTTTCTAGTAGCAGGGCTATTTTCCTTACTTTTGCTTTGTGGTTAATGCTAGCTGCCCAATGCTGTGCAGGCTTGTTTCCCATCCATGTTTAAAGTTACCTTTATTTAGAATGCTTTTAAATTGTATTGGATACTCTACGTGTAAGCTATGAACAGTTGTTTGAAAAAATGTATTGGTAGTTGGGGAATCTTGTGATATCAGAAGTTGTATATAGTCACAATTAAAGTGTGTGTAATTATAAGGACTTGGAGTTTTTATGTGTAACGTAGGCATTATTTGTAGAAGTAAGCTATCAGTTTTAATACTACCTATAGAATACACAGGCTGGTGTCTGCTTATGCTGTCGATTTCCTCTTGAGTCGTGGTGTTGTTCTCTGGTCAGAACTGCATAAGACGATCTGAACTTGTGTTCTGGGCTGTGACCTTAACTGAGTGCCGTGTCCGTAAGAGACAAATATAGGTAGAACAGAGTTAAACTGCGTATTTAAGGAAGTTTTGATTCTTATTACAGTATTTGAGTGATGATAATATTTTTATTACAGACTGTAGGGAAGTTGAGAATAAGTAGTAAGCGTACTTTGTTGTGTAAAAACCATGTAACAAAATAGTAAAGCATATTTTTTTGTATACTTCCAGGAGCACAGTGTATTATATTCTCTAAGCAGCCATGCTGACTGCAAGGCTAGTATGCCTGAGAGCATTATCATGCCAGACTATCTGCCCCACCATTACTCAGGCTTCCCCAGCTTGGAGGAACTCCAATATAAAAGCATACAGGCTGTGGCAGCCTAACCAGGTAAGGTAATTCTCTTCCTAATGGTTCTGACTACTGATATTTTAAAGGGCTGGGTGTTTTGCCAAAAGAATCCCTTTGCATGGAGTAATTGTTTTGAGTGATCGCAATCCTTCTGCTTGTTTGAGGTACCTGCTCTAATTTACCGAAGGAATAGTATTACTCAATCAAAAAACAGGGGTTTTAAGAGCAACTGAAATAGTATTTTCTGTTCCAGTTACTATTTCCCCATTAAAATTGCAGAAAAAAAGAACTTAAAGGGGGTAGCTAACGACGGACAAGCCTTACTATGTAAGGTGGGGGGAGCAGAAATTCTTGTCTGACCTCCTCCTAGCTCCCTCTTTCCAAGTAAGAGTCTTAAATATAATATTAAAGTTAAAACTTGCTTTTCAAAGACTTTTGTCTCGATGCGCCTTTAGAGGTGTAGCCCATGTTAGAGCAGTTTCTAAGCTATGGTGGGATTGTCATGGGTCTTACCAGCAGTTTTAAAATCTGGACTGTTGTTATCCTAAGACACTGTCTGTTTATTTTGCATTGAGAGAGGATGTGTCACTTTTGTTTTCTGCCCATGTAACTCACGACTGTTAGGAGGCATTGCGCTCTTTCCATTGTCTTGGTGAAAGTGCTAATAGCAAATTCTTCACCTTTGCGTTTTCCTCTTAAGCATAGAAAACTATTTTAAGCATCGTAAGTTTGTAGGTGTTTGGGTTTGAGGAGGATGTGTGTTCTTGTTGGTTGCTTTTCGGTTTTTTGGGGCTTTTTGTGGTGGTTTTATTTCTGTGACAAGTGCTAAATAATTACAGTGTTGGGCTAGATTTTGTTAGATACAAAACACAACAATGCTGAGGCATTATGGTAAACTTCCTGAATTTTATTGCTGTAATGGTTGGTGATAGCAGTGCTTGTAGATTTCAGAGTTTAGTGTTGAAACAAACTTGCAGCTTTGAGTGAGCCCTTGGTTCATGGGCGCCTGTTAAATAATTTAGAAATTCCTGGAAAAGATGGTAAGGAAACTTCAAAAGTTGTTTCTGAACTTAAATACAAGTTAATTCTGTGTTGCTCTTGCAGCTTACTAAGACTTTGAGCAGCATGCTGTATTCATTTGGAGCTTGTCAGGCTTAAAAAAATATGAAGTTTATAGGCCTTCATTCAAGGTTTGTTCTCTAAATCAAGGCTAGAGTTGAAAGCAAACAATTGGTGCTGCTTTTCCAAATTTATTGTCTGTAAAGTGTAAGTATTGTGCAAGAACATTTTTTACATAAAAGTATTTATATAAAGAGTGTTTTTACGTAGAAAGCAAAATACACTTTTTTACAAAATAAAAAATTAAGAGTATGTTTTATATTTAAAAAAAAAGCCTTATTGCCTTGTTTGGTACACTGGGAGTAGAATAGAAGAAATGCACACTGAAAACTTCAGCTTCTGAAATTCATTGCCTCCGTTCTGTACTTCTAGAATGTGTGAAATTCACAAAGCTTCCTAAACTGTAATGTTCAGTTGTTTTCCTTGAGCACAGTTGCTTCATGTCTTTGGAAGGTAAGCACAGATAAATAAGACACTATGTAGTAATTTTAAGTGTAGCCAGTAAATTGATGAGAAATGTCTTCAATTTTATTTCATTGAATCTTTCTTGTGTTATTTCTGAATCTAACAGTGTTATGCCACCAGAGTAAGAACAGGTGTAAGGCGTGGAAAAATTGGCCAGGAGATTAAAGAAGCAGCATTTGAGCCATCTGCAGAAACAGCACTTAAAGGTAAGTAGCTGTTGTTTAAATACTGAGAATCTTCAAAGCTTAACTTAAAACTTACTCGAAGGAATTGGTTTCCTTCAAACCAGTAGAGACTGAGAATATTGTTTCATATGTAAATTTGTTTCATATGTAAATTTGCTTAGTGATCTTCAAATGACAGAGACGGTTTCTCTGCTTATCTTTCCTGATAAAGTTTAAAGCTGCAAATATGTCAGAGTATAGAGAACTTTCTTGTTTCAACTTTAAGCTGCTGTTGAGAACTGTTAAGTCAAAAATGGTTGTCTCTTAACTGAGACTTGGTTGCAGATATTAAAAAGTATGCTAACACGTGCTTTGCTACATTTACTTTGTATACTGTTTAAAGGAGGGATTTTTCTACAATGTGTACAGTTTGGAGAAAGTTTCTGGTGCCATGGTTATGCAAGACATTGGTTCGCTATGCTAGCTAGCACATCTAGTGTGGGTTGTAATTTCAGTGGATTACAAAGGGGTTTTGTTAGATAGCAGTGTTCAGCAGAATGGGCTTGTAAGTGTCATATAATAGCATTGGATTGACAAATGGAATGTGTGTAGATTGGCTAGATAGTCTTGGCTATAACACGTTAAGAAAAAAATGTAGTCTTAAAGTTCTATGACTGAAGATATTCAGCCTCAGCTGCTCTTACTTCATTTATAACTATTTTATGATTGATATTTGTATTTGTAGCAGTAATCTGATATGTGGCACACAAGCAGTATGTCTAAAAATCAGACAGTAGAAACCGATAGTAAATCATGTGTTGTTGCCCATGAGCTTTGGAAATCCCTTTTTAAACTGATTTGGATCTAATTGCTACCAAAGAGCTCTTGAAGTAGCAAGCATTCAGGCCAGGTGAATGAGAGGAAAGGACACAATATCTAATTTTTCTCCTGTTTTATAGTGAGTTGGATAGTGAACTGATACACTAAATCAGCTGACAGGTGAACTCTTCTGTTGGAGAACCTGTTAAATGGTTTTGGTTGGAATTCCTGTTACTGTAATGAGGGTCAGTAAACCTGGTATATTGCTAGTAGGTCTCTCATTTCTTACCGTGTTTTATGAAGTTTTAGTGCATTGGTATGCTGAATCTAGAGCTTTTCACGTGTAGCTCATTTAGAGCTGGTAACACAGTGACTTGAAGTTAAGTGGAGATTTAAGAAAGAAGCCTAGCATGGATTAGCTATTGCAGGAACAACAAAACTTACACAAGGATGTTATTAACTATCCAAGAAAAAGCAGTCATGAGTGTGGATTTTTTTTTCTTTATACAGCTGATCGCCTGGGGAAATTTATTGTTGCTGGAGGGGCTGCTGTTGGCCTGGGGGCCCTCTGTTACTATGGAATGGGCATGTCCAGTGAGATTGGAGCTATTGAAAGAGCTGTGTAAGTAAGATGGCTTACTGTTTTAAGTAAAGAGTACATTAAGCGCATCTCCCTCCTCTTCTTTAGCTGGTATCACCCAGCGAACACACAGCTTACGTCTTTTTTTTTTTTAAGCTGTGAACAGAAAGCCTTTGCCTCTGTCTGTGCAGGATTTTAAAGCATATAACTGAAAGCAAAATTTAAATTGCCCAAGCTTAAATGGATATTGACTTAAGTGAGTTCCTTTGTTTTCCTAAATTTGAAATTTACTTGTCTCAGGAGGTGTGCCACAGATAATTTATGAAGGGTAGTCTTCTGTAAAACATATTAAGATCACTTTGCCCAATGTTCATGTGAGACTGTTCGTTAAAATTCAGTACAGCATGTTGGAAAAAGTCATCTTTGAACACACTATTTATCTTTGCTTAAGCCCTGCTCTAATAAATACATTTGGTATATTGCTTTTTGGCCAACAATAACCTGACTGCAATGGCAAAACGATATAGTTACTTAGACTTAAACCATGGTTAGTGATAAGCATGGGCTATGAGAAATGAGCGCTGGAGACATTTTGCTTTACTCATACTGCTTTTCTTACGTTTGGAAGTGACCACCCACATTCATACTGAATGCTTGCTACTTAGATCTGTGAGAAGCTTTTCATTGATAACAACTGTGTGTAATTTTTTTTTCTCCACAGGCTTTGAAGTAATGGGTACAAAGCATAAAATAGGAGAAAATGTGTGCACTGTTTGTTTGGTGTTAGCAGAGAATGCTACTTGTCTGTAATATGACCAAATCATACTGCAGAAATGCTCATTCATGGCTAGGTCTGTTGCTATTGTTAGAGCTCTCAAAATGAAATTCCTGTCTTCTGATGTCAGATAATCATGTGCACTGTGACTCAGCAATTCATGAGCTCCTCAGCAGGCTACTTAGTGCCCAGTACACATTCTGTAGACATTTGTCCTTAAGCCAGTTTTATATATACACTATTCTCTGTTTTTACATAGTTAAAAAGCATTCATTATTCTGTTTCCCATGTATGCTTCCTCCTTAGAATTGAACAATAATTAGCATTATTTGTAATTTACAATGTTTCTAGACAGTTATGTTACATTAGATCAATGAGATTCAAAAATTCAGCCTCCTGTTGTAAGGTAAACTCATGGCAGAAGTTGGCAGACCACACCATTGTTATGAAACCTGCCTTATATTCATAGCTATGAATATGTTTAACAGCTTGGTTGTTTTTAATTGGTTGTCATTCTGATACTGGTAACTGCACAGCTGTGTATGACTGCTTATTTTTCAGTATTTGGCCACAGTATGTGAAGGACAGAATTCACTCTACTTACATGTATTTTGCGGGAAGCGTTGGCTTGACGGCACTGTCTGCTGTAGCAGTAAGCAGATCTCCGGCACTCATGAGCCTTATGACAAGAGGCTCCTGGCTGGTAAGCTTATGTTATAAAAATAGAAGCATTTACTGAGGAAAAGACCCCAAATGTGATGGTTGATATAAAAAATGTGAAATGCAAATTACTTGTTGAAAAGGCAAACCTGCAGTTAACACTAGTGTTGTTCTCCATAAAGACTATTTAAGTATCATAATGGTAGTTTGTGATTTAAGACTTGGTGATTCTTATTACATGCTGACATGCACCTTCTAGGCTTCTTTGATAGCTTGCCAAAGACAAACTACATGAGAAAAAAATGCTGTGCTATCCTTACCAGCTCTATGCAAGTGAGAACCTGTTATAAACAGCCACCTGAGGCTAATGACACTATTTCTGTTGCTTTCTAAAAATGGAAACTGAGGTCCCTATGCATTCTTACTGCTCCCTGTGCTCTTCTGTGTAGCTCTTTGAAAGCTGTCTCCTGTTTGCCAAGGTTGAAATGATACTGGTAGGCAAATCATCCAGGCAAACAAAATGTGTCTGCTTAGTGCATATTCAGTGTGTTAAGTGGAGTGGGACAATAATAGTTAAAATGCCAACACTTACATAATTTTACAGAGATTAAGTTAATGATGCGTCTTTGGTGATAAACCAAAGTTGTACATATCTGACCAGTTTTTCAGCTGCTGGATGATTCTGCTTGGAATCATCAGTAAGAGGAGGCAATGAGGTTGAAAAATCATTGGTAGAAAAAGCATGTGAACTGAGGAGAAACGTACAAGAAAACAGCAAGGCTAACATTTCAAGTACCTTAATGAGGGTTAGAGTAAGGGGTGGAAGTATGTTTTTCTTCTCTTTACCTTACACAACTAAGAGATTGTTGCATCTTACCACTAAACTTGGATTCTTAGGAGACTGAGTTAAAAGTAAAATGGGAATTACCACAAGCTAGGATCTGCAAAGATTTGGCTGTAACCTTACAGGAGTAAAATTGACAAATGCTGCAGTTATGAATTAGGTTGCTCTTTTCAGAATTGCGCTATTGACTTCTAGGCTAGGAGGTTAGAACAGAGACTGTATGCCCGGATGCTAACTTGAGCCCCGTAATGCTGTGTTTACAGGCAATAGGTGCAACTTTTGCAGCTATGATTGGTGCTGGAATGTTGGTCAGGTCCATATCCTATGAAAATAGTCCAGCAGCTAAACATTTGGCTTGGATGATGCATTCAGGTATGTGATTTTAATGTTCAATATAGAGATATCTGCGTCACTGTGACCAGATTCTTTCTTAACAAAACTTCAAGGTAAATTACATACTGCTGTAGGAGAGTTAAGATTTTTCAGAGACCAATGAGAACTCCTCAATGTCAGGAAGATTTCTTAAGTGTTCTTAACCCAACTCTGATGTTTTTCATAATCTGCTAAAAGTCATGCTCAGGTTCAATTTGAGATATGTATGTGCCACATTAGACAGAACTATCTGGTTTCGTAGCTGCTTTGGTTTTGTGACTGCTTTCTGGGACTATACCTTCTGTAAGCACTATCGTCTACACTTAGCATTTTTCACTTGTACAGGATAGGAAAGTATTTGACAACTTGACTAAAAAATTAGATTTTTAGTATTTTTTTAGTATTAAACTGCAGCTTCTTAGGTACATAGTTCCATTGGGTATATAAGCTGTGACAGATCAGTTTCTCACTGATGATACGTACTTCAAATAACAATGGCTATAATTTTTTTTGAAACTGTTTTACCAGATATAATTTGTGGTTCAGGAAAGACATGTGGATGTTAGGCACTGGAATTACATTTGCCCCTCAAGCTAACATTTCTGCCGAGAAGAAATCGTGTTTATTTTAGTGATTGCTGCCAAGTTAAACAACCTAATGTGATACTAATGGACTAGATGGAGGTTTCATACAAGACTCCAGAAAAAAAGTCTGATTGACTTGCCTAACTAATTATTGTAGCAGAAGTCTGTCCTGCTTTTCAGTCTAGTGCTCCTACGGCAATTAAGTAGTTGATGAGTCTGTGCTAAGTTTGTCTTGCCAGCTCTGTTTGAACAGATCAATATGTTGACTTCTGCTGGTCTTTCTTCCAAAGACAGGCTCCCTGAAGTACTCTACAGAGCTAGATAAAAGTAGGTCATGGAATTTAACATTGCCAACTTACTATGCTCCCTTCTAGATAGGTGCACAATCAAGTGCGTTGGTATTTTGTTGTGCAAGTAGGTTAGTTTGAGCCATGTTACCTGACTGGAAAAAAAAATAATAATGTTTTGGCAGGTGGTGTTTTTACCAGAACTGTTCCAAATCTTACGGGTGTTGTTTTGTTTTTCCTTTGGCTAGGTGTTATGGGTGCAGTGGTGGCTCCTCTGGCCTTCTTGGGTGGTCCTTTGCTGATCAGAGCTGCCTGGTATACTGCTGGAATCGTTGGAGGGCTCTCAACTGTGGCCGTGTGTGCTCCAAGTGAAAAATTTCTGAACATGGGAGGACCACTTGGAATAGGCTTGGGCTTTGTTCTTGCCTCTTCAATTGGTAAAACACTGTTTTAATACTGTCAGATAAAATAGGTTATAAACTTAAGCTGCTAAGATGCAGCTCATGTTTAATTGCAGACTGGTCTGTCCAGTTAAGATTTGCCTTAAATAGCCCTTGCAACTCTAGCACAGCAGAAAATAAATTTGTTCTTGAAAACAAACATGAAGTTAAGTTCTGGCAAGCATTAATCTGACAAATAGTCAATACTGGTGCTTTGTATTTTTAGTTACTGCCAGTGACTAGGGAAGATAGTAAATGTGATTTTGGTTCTTGATCTAGTTTTTCTTCTCCCTTATGTGTTTCTATGCATTGTAGTCCTAGGGACAGAAGTACTTTCACATGAATCCGAGTATACAGTTCCCTAGGGTGTTCAAAATTAGTGGATCAGGTTGTATATGTGACATCTTCAGCTTGTGTATTAAATCTCTTGATATCAAAAATGCACCATGAACTGAGAATTGAATACTCATTGAAAAATGTGTGCTACAGTAACTGAAGTTTGGCACAACTCAAGACTAGCAGATATGCGTAGTAGCTTTTTTTAACACTATTGTACATTCCTCTCGAGGATCGATGTTCTTGCCTCCTACTTCTGCTTTTGGTGCTGGCTTGTATTCGGTAGCTGTTTATGGTGGATTGGTACTCTTTGGCATGTTCCTGCTCTACGATACACAGCATGTTATCAAGCGTGCAGAAACTATTCCGTATTATGGAGTGACAAAATATGATCCAATCAATGCGTAAGTATTCTGTGTTAACACAGCTGATCTGAATGTCTGTGTAAGAATTTACTTCAAACTATGTTGAAGTAGGCTTTAAAATCAGCCAGATCTTTTGTTTACTGTTCAAAAGTGTATTACTGTTAAATGTGAAGAATCACAGAGTTTAAAATTACAGTGTGAAAATAGCTAGTGGAGTTAGAACTGAAACTGTCTCTGAAATGAGAGAAGTGGGATTGAATGCATGGTGTCACATGCTTCCAGCAGTACTTTTTTAGAAAGTACTTTTGTTTTCTAAAGCATTGCTGGGAGAACTTATAGCTGCTTTCTGAAAATATCTGTCAATATCAGCTGAAACAAAACATGTTAACTCTTTGATAGTCATTTAATATTTACTGGTCTCTGTCACTAAATGAAAAAGCTTCAACAGTGTTATAGATAAGGAAAAAAAGGAATAATTGACTCTCAGTAAAGACCAAGTCTGGCTAACAAGTAACTTGCTTGTAAATGTTGTCTGTCTGATCTTAAGTGAATTGTTTACCTCCTTGATTCTGGTTTCTTATACTTGGAATAATATTGACCTTCTTCAAAATTCTTGGAGATAAACAGATAGAAGTACAGCATAAATGCAGAGGGCTACTGCATGAGAACAGTATACTGTCTAGTAAGACTTCTGTAGATAGTTCCTGCCAGCAGAGATGGTAGACAATCATAATTGGGTTTTGTTACAGATGCTTCATGAAGACTTTTAAAAAATGAAGTGTAATAGTGTGAAACACTAAATTTCTGTTCAACAGTATTAAGTTTGATTTCCTGTTTCCTAGGTGCATGGGTATCTACACAGATACACTGAACATCTTCATTCGGGTGGCCACCATGCTTGCAGGTGGTGGAGGTGGAAGGAGCAAGTAAACCAGGACTCCTCTTTGCAGCTGTCTGACAGCCTACCTAGTGCACACACTAAATAAAAATTCATGGCTACAATCACTTTTGCTGCAAGTCAGAAATTTAAAGCGTTTCAGCATATTGTTTCAATGCAATGTGATTCACACTTAATAGTTTTTCTTCAAACATTTTCCAGCTCTGTGTTTAAAATAGTTTGAACGGCTTCTAATTGTACATTATTTTGAGAAAGTATATTATTTTTAATATATGAATAAAATAGGCTACCTGCTTTTTAATGGGTTTGAACAGCAGTTCAACTCTTACTTTCTTATTTTTTTACTGTTACTGTGTAGTAAAGGAAGTGATTTCTGAACTGGTATCCCACATGCAGATAGGGACACAAGCTACTTCATGAAATGCTGTTGAGATGCATCAGTTTTTAGTTGAGATTGCATAAATGATGTTTTAGTGGCACATTGAGAAGAACTGAACAAATTGGATATGGCGCTAAATGCAGTAATGACTTCTACCTGGGCAGAAATTTCAGAAAGGTTTAAGCAGCTGTCAGATTTGACAGGTGAGGTGACCAAAAAATGTAAAGGGGACAAGATGAGGAAACTATGGCATTTGTCCCGTATGAACACAAGTCTCGTTCTGAAGTACACATGAGAACTCCTTGCTTTAATGTTGACTGGATATAATAGCTGGGTTTTTCTGATACTAGATTTATCAAACTGTTGAATAGCAATATAGGTGTGTCTTTCTTGCAGTGACTAAATTTCAATATTGCGGATGAAGCCCTGTCCTTTGGAAGAGCTGCTAGTGCTCATCTCTTGCAAGCTTGTACAGTTGGCACAGAAAGAGGCAATTGAGCATGGCCTGATGTCAACCCAAGTATTGTACATTTACCATGCTGTCATATGCTTTAGTCTGTTTCTAACTCTTCTCCAAATTGATATGTTTATCTTGGTCTGAAAAAAATGTTTCCTATTGGTGAAATTGATTTAACATTAAGACATTTATACTTGTGAAACTCTATTGCTATATGTTGGAATAAAAAGTGAGTTCTTGGGCACAAGAAAGTTTTGAGCTAATGTCAACAAATCAGACTTTCAGTTCCTGGTAAATATGCTATGTTTATGTATTGACTTATGGAACAATAAAATTCTAGTCTCACAAGTTGACTACTCTGTTTCCCTGTGTTAATAGAAATATTTTAGTACCCCTGCACTAACACCTTGGTGAAGAGTACTATAAATATTTTTTTAATTACAGTTCCCTTTGTAAGAGAGTGCATAGTAGTTTGTAAAGAAATTTGCAAAGATGATTTCCAGTTTCACTGGCTAATATCCTCTTGGGGATGTTTCCCAGATGGAAGATGCTGATCTACAGTTGCTTCAAGTGGTTCTGTTTATGTAACCTGTTGGCTATGGACTACAGCCAGTGCTGCTTTTATGTCTGTCATACACTGTAGTATTTTTAGTCCCTTCAATCATAGGGAAGAAACAGCGGATTGTGAAGAACCTTGTTGCAACTCCTTTGTGCCCAAGGATTATATGGCACAGTCTAGTTCCTGGCAGTGTTACAGCTGAAGGAAAATCTAGTACTTAGATGGAAGACTCTGGGTCATGTCAAGAGTAAGTAGCCTGCTTTGAGAACTTTTATCTTTTTAAACAATTTCATGTGCTTAATCAGGTTCTATGTGCTGTTGCTGTAGCCGAACACAGCAGCGTGCTTGTGTCGTGGATCCTGATTTAGTATCCTGCTGACTATGCCAGTTTGTTGCAAGTGAGTGATTTAGCTCACTTAAAGAATCACCCTCAAAGGTATTAGTGAAAGTGATTTTAATGTGAATTTGTAAAAGTGCAACTTAACAAAGTTTGATGGCAAGGTTTACTCTTAATTACTACTATTGCTTACTACTTCTATTACATGGACGGAACATACAAAGGGAAACAGAATCGAGCTGGAATGTTTTACAGAGAGACTGGAGATGCAAAGTGTAAGTGAGACCTGCCCACTGAGTCACAAGGTTCAGAGTGGACACTCTTGCTTTCTAAACTGATGGAGCTTAGGTGTGGCTAAGTCCAGTCATAGACTTGGTTAACAGTTTATGCCTAATGGAAGAGATACAAAGGGTAAGGAAAACCTGCTGTTGAGTTACAAGGTTCAGAGTAGACCCCCCCTTACTTTCTAAACTCTCTCAGAAAGGAGTCTTAAGTGTGGCTGGATCCATACTTATTCCCAGACTTGGTCAACAGTTTGTCTAATGGAATTAGATGCATGGATTTCATTAGCATTAATACAGCATGCTATCAGTCACCAAGGACCTGTTGCAAATAAGGGGTGTGTCTGCCTTGGGTAAGGAAGGATCTTTTAGTCTCACATAAGGAATCCCAAACCTTGAGAGCCATCACTGCTCAGGGGGAGAGTTGCCTCGTGTGGAGCCCAGCTGCATTTCAGGGAACACCCAAATTGGGCTCATCTGTCATTGGTAAAAGGTCTCACTGCCTCAAGGAGCAACCTTGAGAGGCATCCCAGCTCAAGGGGAGATCCTGGCCATGCAGTCATGTTGCCTAGCAGAGAGAGCTCAAAGGTGGCTCGCTTAGGCTGTCATATTGGATGGGATAAAGTGGTTAGCTTGTAGTCAAATTGCATACAACGGGAAAGGTACACACGAGATTCCTTGCACCACAACTTCCTTTGTTCCTTGATAAATGAGTCTTGGAAAAACCACCCACTATTCATGTGTTAATCATGTGATCAGTGTTCCAGGCTCATTTGCATTGATGCTCACTGGGTCACTGCTGCTTTGTGGGTCATCTAAAGGAATCCTTGGCCCTACTACAGCTTGCCTTTTGTAGGAGTAAGTCAGAGGCCTTTGGAAGCCACCCAGGCACTGTTGCATTGAGGAGGAACGAGGAGAGAAGGGATGGAAAGCGTTAATAGGATTCAGGCAGTTTCTGCCCTGAACCTTGAACAAGAGTAAAGAAAGATAACAGGGAAGAAAACGGGTGCGGACTGTTAGATATGAAAGGAACACTAGCCTCCTAAATAGCAGCCAATGAAATGTAGAGAATAGGCGCGTGGACGGAGAGCAGTAACCAATTATGATGTGTAAAAGAGCATGTGGACAGTGTGTGTACGCTTTAGCAAAACTATATAAAATGCAGCTTTCTGATAATAAAGAGTCTTTGATACATCAGATTGGAGTCTGCATCAATCCCCTCGTCAGCCTTTAGCTCCTTTGGAGCCTGTACCAAACTACTGTGAGTTTGGTTAAGTGGGGGTCGAGTATCTGTCACACTCCACCTCATGACTACAGTCAAATCGACTTCATCAACTCATAAAATGGTGGTACGGTTACCTCTTGCCTCTACATCGTAAGTATGTGGTGTATTGCAGGTCAGTAGTAAGAGTCCAATTATTTGATAAGCTGTTTAGTTTGTCAAAATTAGTGTTATTTATGTACTATGTTGGCACACTTGCAGATATATGGTAAATAAATAGATTTATATAAAAGCTTATTAATTATCTTGCTGGGAATGCCTTGTGATGAACAGGGAGTGTTTGCTTCATTATGTACCAAACATTTACATATAAAGTAAGTAACTGTGTTAGAGCTAACAAAATCACAACAAGATGAAGCATTAGATTCAAAGCTTTTGTTGCTGTTGGTGACCATCCAAATTAGGTATCCCACCAATTATGTTTTCCATCCTTTTTCACTCTTTCTAGGACATGGTGTATTGTCTCTACATCATGATGGACAGTACTAAGGGTTCTTTGTTCATTGTTTCACATTCATTTTAGCAATTGACCCAGGTCATCATGGTGCAATCTGTCAACATTCGTTCCAATGGGGGTAAATAGGAAATCTTGATATGATGTGTGGTTTGATTGTAGCAATTGGTAGGTTGTGACAGGAGCTGAATATTTAAGGTTGCATCCCATAATTTTGGTAAAATTACAAATGCAAGTGTTCGATTATTTTTCTCTACAGTGGTGTCGTCTATAAATAATCACAAAGGATTCTTGTACAAATACATCCATTTCCAACATACACAAGTACAGTTTCAGGGATTTCATCGGGGTGTATTTCAAAATGACAAACATTTTGTTCAGAGTCAAGATAAATGTCCTGGGCCTTTATGGTATTACTTTCACAAATAAATCCTTGATGTTCCCATATAACACATGCATCCAAATTTGCCCCTTGTCCCAGTTTTGTTGGGCCTATACTCTATCCTAATGAACAGAGGACAGTTCCGTGGTGATTTAATCCCAGCACGATAACTGGGTATGTGGTTGTATACCAAGTCATTGTGCATTGTTAAAACAAAAGCTGTGGCTTTACTGTGGATGGGGTCGTAAGTGAATGATTCCACCATGATTATAATTCTGTTTAAAATTTAGTTGCATTATCTCAGATTACTTTTCAAATTTCAGTGAGTAAGGTGCCTTGATCAGCTCTCTTAAAATTGCTGCCACAGTAGTTGTACCCACAGTTGAGAAATTAAGACAGGTGGGCATTTGTAGGGAAGCATGTGTTACCGAAATCTTCAACAGCAGAATGATCATACATCTTTTTATCTTGGAGGAGGCTGCAAGACAAAAAGGTACACTGGCCTCAGTGGGGTTTTCTGGACAAGTTACCCTGTTTGAAAGAAAAAATCTACTGTGCACTAATTCTGTGCTTTGCACCACTGCTATCTGTAGCTTCCCAGGCAAGTGGGCCACAAGGTTTAATTGGTCGTAGGTACAGTTCCAATTTGGGCTAAATTCACCATGACAGGTTGTCCTGGCTGTAATATCAGATATTTTCTTTCAGCAGAAGGTGGAGCATGAGACTTAGCTTTTGCAAAGAATGTTCAGCTCACAGGGCTCCCAGGGGGCCCATACTGATTATACAATTGATCAAGTGCTTTGGCAAGCTCAGTATCCCACTGGGCTTTGTGTGGCTTAAGGCTCTTTTTCAATAAGCCATTATCCCTTTCTACCATCCCATTTGATTGAGGATAATAGGGAGTTTGGAATACCCATTGAATTTCTTCTTGTTCTGCCCGTTCTGGTACTTCTTTGCATGAGAAGTGTGAGCCATTGTCACTTTGGATGGAGTCGGTACACTTGGGAACCAAGATGATAGCCCTCATACTGTTACTTTGTCTGTCGGCCTTTCAGCACTTGGTTGCCATAAGCAAGTGGGAGAGTACTTCCACTCCTGTGAGGATGTAGCGGTATCCCACAGAGGGTTTAAATGGCCCGATATAAT